AAGCTCTTTAAAAATAAATAGCTATTTATTCCTCTGAAAAGTATTTTAATGTTGGGGGCCTTTATACGTAAATGAATCTTTTGAGATTACCTTTTCTCTTTTTGTGTGTGTTTTAGGTTTGGCTCTTTAACCATGGATGGTGGCCTTCACAATGTTGACTGTCTTTAGCTTTCTAATAGAAGTTTGAAAAAGTTTCTGTTTACACAAGAAAATAACGCTTGGGCATTAAATGAATGCCTTTATAGATGGTCAGTTGTTTCTACAGTCCAGTATTTGATGTGGTCATGTAAATATGTACGATATTGTAAATACATAAAAAATATATAAATTTTTGGCTGCTGTGAAGATGTAATTTTATCTTTTAACGTTTATAATTATATGAGGAAATTTGACCTCAGTGAGCACGAGAAGAAAGCCATGACCGAACAATGTGTTGACATACCGATCCTCTACTCTGAGTGGGGCTAAATAAGTCATTTTCTCTGACCGCCTACTGGAAATATTTTTAATGGAACTGAAATAGGCATCCTTACATATCAGGAAGACTGAGTTAACATGTTTGTAAATGGTAGAATGGTGGCTACTGTGAGTGGGGAGCAGAACCGAACCACTGTTATACTGGGATAACAATTTTTTTGAGAAGGATAAAGTGGCATTATTTTATTTTACAAGGTGCCCGGATCCCAGTTATCCTTGTATCCATGTAATTTTAGATGAATTATTAAGCAAAACTTTTAAAGTTAATTCATTATTAAAAAACTATTCATTTTTTCCTTTGGCCATAAATGTATAACTGTCATTAAAATTCTAAGGTCATTTCAACTGTTTTAAGCTGTATATTTCTTTACTTTAATTCTGCTTACTATTTCATGGAAAAAAAATAAATTTCTCAATTTTAATGTAAAGAGTTCATGTGTTTCTGTGTATCCAGTTTGTGAAACAAAAGTTATCTTTTGAAAATAACAATATAGGCGGTAATCATAAACTACTCTCAGAATATTGGATGTAGGGAGAATTTTGTGTGTCTGCTCATTGCAACCTCCACCTCCGAAGTAGCTGAGATTACAGGTATGCACCACCACGCCTGGCTAATTTTTGTATTTTTAGTAGAGACAAGGTTTCACCATGCTGGCCAGGCTAGTCTCAAACTCCTGGCCTCAAGTTACCTGCCCGCCTCAGCCTCCCAAAGTGCTGGGATTAGAGGTGGGAGCTATTGTGCCCAGAGAAAAAGGAACATTTTCTTTGAAAAATTACTCAACGTTCTAGACTAAGGGATTGTGCTTGGCAAGAAATTATTACATCTAACAGAATTATTATTTCTTTTGGTTTTGGTTTCTGGCATTTCAGACTGGTGAAGAATGATTACACACAACCTGCAAATCATAAAATAACATATCCTAAAGAGAAATATTTTCGTTTACCAAGAACATCAGTAACTTAATCAATCTTAAGAAATGAAAAGATTAGGATTTTATGTGAGATTATGATGCATTATTGTAGCGGAGCATTTTAAGCGTCATACGTCCATATAACAGAAATAAATGCAAGGGTGATTGCCTTTATTTATATAAATACAGTTATCCATTGTCAGATACCTGTTTAGTCTGAGAATGTGTGGGGCAAGGAAGTATTGAGTCCCTCTTTATTTTAATTTTCCATTCTGCCATCTAATATGGGTATCATATAGTTTAAGTGTTTATATCACTGAATATTAGGTAAAATTTTACTCGTTAGGTGATTATTTAATAAATTTGCCAATTTAGTTTTTATTTCAGCACCTCTAGCAAAGAACACCAATAAATAAATAACACCCTCTTTAATTTTCCATTCTACCATCTAATATGGGTATCTTATATAGTTTAAATGTTTATATCACTGAATATTAGGTAAAATTTTACTCGTTAGGTGATTATTTAATAAATTTACCAATTTAGTTTTTATTTCAGCGCCTCTAGCAAAGAACACCAATAAATAGAACCTTTATGTGGAGATTGTACTTTTATTAATAGTATTGATAGGAATATACCTATTCCACAGTAGTATTTTTTAAGATTTACTCTTTTATTCCCCCATTACAGTGACATGGAAAAGAAGCATTATTGCTTTCAATATTTTACCCCCAAAAATGCCTCCTCATTGAAAACATTTATTTGTCAAAACAGTTTAAATAAATGAATGACGTACCAGTCTGCTAATTTTCAGTGACTGTTTAAATGAAATTAGCTTTAAAGTAAGTTACATCTTCAGTTTAGTAACATTTTTTTCAATATTAGAACATGTTTCCAAAAGATGGTAATTAATGATATAAAAATAGTATATATAGGCCAGGTGCAGTGGCTCACACCTGTAATCCCAGCACTCTGGGAGGCCGAGGCAGGTGGATTACCTGAGGGCAGGAGTTTGAGACCAGCCTGGTCAACATAGTAAAACCCTGTCTCTACTAAAAATAAAAAATTAGCTGGCTGTGGTGGCATGAGCCTGTAATCCCAGCTTACTCAAGAGTCTGAGGCAGGAGAATTGCCAGAACCCAGGAGGCAGAGGTTGCAGTGAGCCGAGATCACACCACTGCACTCCAGCCTGGGCAACAGAGTGAGACTCCATCTCAAAAAAAAAAAAAAAATTCCAGCTGCCATTTTCTAGGTTACCAAATTATTGGCATATAGACCTGATTACACCATGTGTTGGCTTATAGACCTGATTTCATCATGTCAAAAGAAATGCTTCTTAGATATTAAAAATAAATCAACATTTCTTTACAAATGTGTCTTTATCAATAAATTATTCAGAAGAAAATTGCAGTAATCCTGAACTTTTCATGATTGTTTTGGTTTAGATTGTTTTTATTTCTTTGGTGTTTTTGTTGGTGGTGGTCTTTTTTTTT